CACAGGAAGCAAGCTCTAGCCTCAACCTGAAAAATGGTGGTGGGACGCCCCCGAAGGGGTCAGTACTCTATACGGCTATAAAGTACTGGTGTGGCAGGCATCTAATAGATATACAACAAGTATTTCAAACACAAGACCCTCAAATAGGGTGATAGTACATTATGATTTGTAACCCTAGTTACCCCGTTTAAAAATATACTTACTTAATATAAAAGTCAAGTAGTCGGCCCGTGGGCCCATGTTTATTTGGAAATCACCATTCCCAACCACGTGACTATAAGCCACGACAACTCCTAGAGTCCAACCCTAGTACATGACATTGTATTCTAGAGCTCGGCTCTACCACATCACCATACAATTCATATACCTCGGGTCAATCTCCCTACCTTGCGTTCTAGAGCTCGGCTCTATCACATCACCACGCAAGTCCTAGAGCTCGGCTCTAGCTATACAATACATAGACTCCAAGTCTACACCTTACATGCATTCTAGAGCTCGGCTCTATCACATCACCATGCATTAAGGTCCAATTCTCAAGCAACCCTATGCCTAGAATTGACATATCATTAAACTACCATGGGTCATCCTTAAAGACTCCCCATAACTTAACCTTAGTTCCATACTAAGTTATCATATACACTTGAACTACATTCAAGTACCTTTCATACAATCCAATCCCTAGGATCAATTTAATCAACAAGTTCCAATAATCACTAACTAGTATTCCAATACTATTAAGATTATTGTTATCGTACCATTATCCTCATTGTTTGTAATTCTCTACATATTTATAATTATGTAGCAGCAACTTAAGTATTCAATCTCAATACACAAATATTCATTTATGTATCCACATAATTCATACATGAGCAAAATGCCCATTTTCACAAAATAGTTCATTTATACTCATTTAATCTCATATCGTTCATACTTTCTCAAATCATTCCAAATTCATTCTTTGGCAACTATATCAATATTTCATCAATATATAGTCATCATAATCCATGAAAAATCATGATTTAAACATTTAGGTAATCTCATGCTTAACCTACAAGTTGTAAGCAATTAGATGTCAATCCTCACCTCAATTGAGCTTTAAACTTTCCCTTCTTGGTCCAACGGTCAAATCTTTGGTCAAGGTGGATTTGGGACTGATTCCTTGCTCAAATATGAGTGTTAAACAGCCTCCTCAAAGTGCTAGTTCAACCCTTAATCGTTGATACGAAAACAGCCCCTAGAACGGGTGTTTTCCGGCTAACTCGATTCCTAGTTTTCCAATATTTGCATCTAGGTTAGTATCTAACCTTTACATCAATAAAATAACTTTATAAGGACATATTATACACTTGGATTAGTGTATAATAGTCTCAACAATCGTTCATATCATTTGGAGAATGAAAAGTAAAGCTTTGGGGTTAAAACTCACTTTAGAAGATTAAATCCTCTCCTGCGAGGTTGCGTTTTTCTCGGACAATTTGGAAGCCTTCCACAACTCCGATTCCTGCAAACCAGGCCTTCACAGATTCCTCGTCTTGAGAGCTTTCTTTTGGTATATCATACGCCTTATTTGGACGAGTGAAGCTCAAGTTATGGATCAAACAAGAGACCCTATCTGCTGGAAAACGAATCCTGCGGCCAGCTTCTCTCTTCTCTTCTCCCTTGGAATATGTGGCTCCCTCTTTCTCTCTTATCTTGGGAGTTCGAATGGGGTGTAGGGAAAATGTATTAGGAAGGCCTCAATCATGCTAAGAGAGCATGTGGTTCACAAAAAAGAAGGGTGGGGTATTTGATTGCAATCAAACATGGTATGGACCTCCTCTTTTATTTCCTTTTTGTAATGTTGTAGCTCATGAGTCAAAAGTCCGCCCCACATAGTTGTCTCATCCATTTTTCTTTGTCTTTGCAGGTACCAAGGTCATGTGGGATGGTTCCCAAATGATCCCATTTAATTTGGGGTCCAAAATATCTACCAATACTTCCAAAAATGGGAAGATGGGTCCTATTGTTTTATCTTTGTCAAAAGATGTCTTTTTTTGTACTCATTCTAACTTATTTAGAGCAAGTCAACTTCCTAAATCACATTATTGATCTCCAATATGTGTAGGCTCATCCCAATAATTTACACGATGAAAATTACAAAAGAATGCGGGTTTGAACAATACAATATTCAATCATGTACTTCGTAAAATATTAATCGTTTCTTCCATTGCTTTGAAATCGGAAATTCAATACATCACTTTTGAATTTTTAAATCGAATTTTCAAGGACGTTCGGGTGCGGTGTCACATAATGTGTACATATATAAAGCAAAAAAGAAAATATTGTCATTACTCCCTCCGTCCCTTAATTATGTTCAAACTTTCATTTTTCGTCCGTCCCAAAATTATCTCCTTTTTCTCCTTTTGGCAAAGAATTTGTGGTTTACAACCATTCTTACACATTTCTCTCTCCTCTGCACAACTCTCCACTACACAAAACCCACTATCTTAATTAGTGTGCCCTGCCGAAATGGGAGAAAAAACAGGGACGAAGGGAGTAGTAAAATAAAGTACTAATTCACAACTGTCCCCGACGCGTTTTCATATTTTGAAAACGTTGTACAATTTTTTCTTTATCAACATTTTTGAATATATCTTTTTCAATAAAAGTAACTAAGGCATCATTCATCATAGCATCCCCCATTCGATTGTGCAACCTGTTCTTCACGAACTTCATGGCTGAGAAGGCTCTTTCCATAGTTGCAGTGGCCATCGGTAAAAGCAAAGCTAATTTCACAAGTAAAAAAACTAATGGATACACAATATGTTTCTTTGTCTCCACCAATTTTTGAGCAAGAGGACGGGTGGAGCGACCTGCGAACGCCGACCGAGGGTTTCCGATTTCAGCGATTTGGGAATTGGGACTACGACTCACGGCGTTCAATCGTTTTTTTCTTTTTGCAGAGCGGGAGTTGGCGTTCAATCAACCATTTGGGCATAGACTTTTCAATACTCCTTGACTCCTTTACTGACTTTTCAATTTGGTGTTCCAACATTTTAAAATTTTAAATTGACCCCCATTTTTTTTAAATGTTGGATGGTGTCAATTTATAATTTATGAAAGATTATCTATACCTATATAGAGAATTTTTATTTTTCAGTGGTGTCAATTATAAATTTTATTTTTTTTATATACCCACATATGAAAAAAAAATTCAGTGGTGTCAATTGACACCACTGGCCAAAGGGTGGCTCCGCCACTGCATGGAATTTTGAACACAAGATCTCCCTTATGAGAGAGTGAGTTCACAATCAATAAACATTACCACTTCCTCTCTTTTTTCTAAAAAATATAAAATGCAAGGAGAAGCATAAAAAATGGAGAAGAAAGAAGGGAAAACCTGAAAAACTAAAGAGAAGAAGAAAAGTGAAAGATGTAGAAAAAAATATATCTGCAAATTTAAAGTGAAAGTTTTCAAAATTGGAGATGATTTACTACATTTGTTCCATAACACAGTGGCCAAATTTCTTTTTTTGACCGTCTAAAAAAACTTTGTCATTTTCATTTAGATTAACAAATATGTTGCTAAAATTATTTTTCTCTCATCTGTACAAATCTTTACGACCTAGTTTTTATTTTATTATTTTACGTGCAAGTCAATTTTAGTCAAGTTCTATGGAACGGAGGGAGTAAATAATAAAAAAGTTTCGAAAAGGGATACATGTCATTTAATACATGTCAATTTTCATAGCAACATAAATACTTCATTCTGTTTTATGTTAAGTGACATATTACTCTTTCAAAAGTTTTTTTAATATTTGACCTATAAAAATACACTTTTTCTATTTCGAATTCAAAGGCAATCTACGATTGTTAAGGTTTAGGAATGATAAAGTTAAATTATCCTTGCAGATAACTAAATTAATTTTAATAATTAAAATTTACATAAAAAGAAACAACATTGAAAATTTTATATAGTAGCAAAATCCAAAGTAGAATATATAAAAAAATCGATATGCAAAATAAGCAAATAAAGCAAACATGTATTGACTAAGAAATATTGACATCACAAACATTTTAGTAAGAATGGTGTGTATTTTTGTATCATTCCTTTTCATAGTGTCATTTATTGAAATATAAAACTAACAATTTATATTTTCACTTTATCAATCCTATCAATAAACTTTTTAGGATAAATAGTTAATTTGTTTAATTATATTGATTGAAGTTACTGTAGAGACTATTTTAATTATTTTCATGTAATAATTTCTTTACTTTACAAATATATCCGAAAAAATTAAAATATATTTTATCAAAGGGAATCTGAGTTTATTTTTTTAGTGTGGTGCCTCGACGGATAGACTCCATCCTCACATCTCTATCAATTTTACATTGCACTTCGTAAACTTTTTGTCTCATTAAATTAGTGAATGTTTTAAAGTTGGCACTAAATCTGAAACGTTGACTTTCAAGTTAGTGGTGCCTCGACGGATAGACTCCATCCTCACATCTCTATCAATTTTACATTGCATTTCGTAAACTTTTTGTCCCATTAAATTAGTGAATGTTTTAAAGTTGGCACTAAAACAGAAACGTTGACTTTCATGTTAGCGCTCTCTCTAGTTTAGGACATCCCCATCCATAGATTATTTTTGGGATCATTTTGATGACGTGAAGGATTTTTTTTAGATTATGGACGAGGAGTTGAGATTATTTTATGAGATAAGAAAAATGGGCAAATAAGATCACGTACTAACAAAAAAAGGTCAAATAAGACCTTATTTAGGAGGCTCTGTCCGGCCGTCGCCATTTGGGGTGGTTCCCGACTTCCCGGTAAAATTGTTTGTTGATTTGTTTTGAGCGTCTTATTCATTAGATCTAGTTTACTCATACCAAATTTAAGCTAACAATTCAATCGTGAAGGCATTCAAATGAATTGTTGCATGTATCATGGATGTTAACATAACAACTGCTCTTTTGTAATAAAAAAAAGTTGATGCTCTCTCTACTTGCCTGATCTCCCAAGTTTGTGCTTAAAATACACACAAACGGCTCATATTTTTAAGCTTAATTTTACCCCCTCTGTTCAATATTTTGAATCCGATCGATCATCCTCATGGCATCTGACCAGGTTAAGCTGTTGGGAGCATGGTGGAGCCCTTATGTGCTTCGTATTAGAGTCCTTCTTAACCTTAACTCTATAGATTATGAATTTGTTGAGGTGCAAATAAAGCCTAAGAGTGAGCTTCTTCTTCAACTAAACCCGATTTACAAGAAAATACCCGTCCTCGTCCACAACGACAAGCCCATATGTGAATCTCTCGTCATCATTCAGTATATCGATGATGTCTGGACTACTTCTGATTCCTCATTATTCCCTACCGATCCTTATGATCGGGCCATGAACCGATTTTGGGCGGTTTATATTGACGATAAGGTATGCGTCTTCTTTTTGGTAATGTATATTTGATTCAATGATCCGTGCAGTCGTCTTTGCATTTTATCCTCGTCTTAAGTCTTAACTTATTCTATTATGGTTTAGATATTTCCGATTTTAAGCGGATTACCAGCTGCAGCGAACGAGGGAGTAGAAAAAGAGGCAATAGATAATTTTGTTGAAGCGGTATTTCCCTTGGAGGATGTCTTTAAGAATTGCAGCAAAGGCGGGAAATTCTTTGGCGGAGACAAGATTGGATTTCTAGACATAGTTCTGGGAAGTTTCGTAGGTTGGTTCAAAGCCAATGAGGTGCTTAACAATGTTAAATTGTTTGATGAAATCAAATTTCCCAATTTGTCCCATTGGGTTGATGATTTTGCAGCCGAAGAAGCCGTTAGAGATGTGTTACCTTCAACTGATAAGTTGGTCGAGTTTGCAAAGGTTTTCTTTAAGAGCAGAACCCAAGCTATTTAAAATTTTACTTGTGATCTTGCTCCTTTCAATTTGTTACTTGTATTTTATTTTATACCCAAGAGACCTATGTATGAGTATGACAAGCAATAAATACGTATGGCGATATGGGGAAAACTTGATGTATTTTGTTGTTTTTATAAATTATAAGAAGTGATTTTCTTTCTACAATTGATTTTCTCCAGTTAGAGTTCTATCCTTTTATCATTCTTTGATTTTAATTTTAATATGAACATGCTTTTTTGCTCCATTGGTATCACAATGCTTCACAACTGCTTGATGAAATATTTCCCAAGCACTAAAGGTGATGATAGAATTGGAAGCGTTTGACGTGCTACCTGACTGTTTTACCCACACTACACTAATGGATGCTTATTGTAAATCTGGAGAAATGGAAAAGGCACATTTTGAAGAGGGTAGGGAGATTCAGGGTTGGATGATGGATAAAGGTATACTTCCAAATGGGAGCACTTACAATTCTCTGATGTAGCTATATTGTATAGGAATAACATTTAACATTCATGTTGCATCTGAGATTTGCTAGGGGATGATCAGAAAAGCTGTTAAGCCGGATAGTAATTCATATAAGACATTGCAAAGCTAGGAATATGAAGGAAGCTTGGTTTTTACATAAAGAAATGGTTGTGAAGGGTTATAAACCAAAGGTTGATACTTGATACATATCATGCACTCATTAAGGGTTTCTGGAAGTGGAAAAAGTTTTCTGAAGCAAAGTGTTTTTTTTGAAGAGGTGAGGAATGAAGGGTTGGCTGTAGTCCTGTAGATAAAGAATTATACTTGTTGGGTTAAGGGCCCAAGCCGAGGTCCGGCCCACTAACCCATATTGCCAGACGCACGTCCAGTTAGAACACCAGGCCATCCCACAGGCCCATGTCCCTTGAGGATGGACGAACGTCTGATGTTGGGGGCTCAGGCCCAGCAAACTCATCCCGACGAACGGCTGTACGGGGACAAGGAGCAGGACCACGGGCCACCAGGGATGGCGACGAACGTCCCCGGGGCGAGCCTGTAGTCATCGGAGGGGACCCAATTCACATGGTGAATATCTACAAGGCCAGGAGACGAACAGCCGATATCTTTCGAGGGTCACTTGGAGCAATCCAACTCACTTCCCGGGAGGACGAACGTCCCCACTAATCAGGCGGGAAACCTAGATTCTGGCGGGAAGTGCATTTAATGCTGAAGATTTGGTAGTTGGGACACCAGCGGTCCACAGGCTGCCACGTCAGTACAGCCACCTGCCCATTGGTGGGTATAAATAGAAGCATTTATTTCATTGTAAAGGGTTGGCAACTTTCTATTCTTAGCATTCTGGCTATTGTATTCTTACTAGCAGCATCTCTACTGCCTTGTAAGACGAACGGCCGACGTGCCCTTTTTAGCAAGTAGATTGTACTTAGGGGAGTTATTACGAAGTTAATAATACCTATTTACATTGCCTGCTATTACTTTTGTTTCCTGATCCATCTCATAGTTGTTGGGCTAGATATCCTTACACTTACTCCACTCGAAATCTTTGGGCTTACGTGTTGGGTCCAAGGGTTGAAGGAACAAACCTCAACACTGGCGCCGTCTGTGGGAAACGAAGCAAAAAGTTTCCAGAAACTCTCCCAAACAGCTACTAAGTCTACCTACAGCAAACACGATGTCAGGAAGCAACAACCAGCGTGATCTCTCCGAGCGTCTGGAGTCGAGCCGCCGGAATCGCGGCCAGAACTCGGAACTATCCGCAACGATATGGACCTCTGGAGGAAACGGGGGAATCACTGACCTCATTCCCCTGGAGGCCAGGCAGGATCCCCGCCTCATGCGGGAACTCGCAGACACCATGCGTCGCATGGCGGACGAGCGGGAGGCCCGAGATCAGGTGTACTCTGCAAGCACCCAGCGAACACCCCTCTCTCCCATACGCCGCATGCAGTCGTATGACGATACGACGGGATCCAGCGACCACCGGCCCTCAGTCCACGAGCGGCTAGGGGGGGTTCAGGCTCCCGTGAGACGGGAGGGCGAACCAGGGTCAGCATCGCTGCATCCAGGGCTCTCACACCATCGGTTCCTCGCAAGATCCCGCAGGGAGACGAGACCCCAAGGGTCAACGCCGTTGGACGACGTTTCCAACGGCGAGGAGCGCAGATCTTCAGGCGGCCGCATGATGCTGTGGCTGCTCAGCAGAACGTCACCCCCGAAGCCGCGCCCCCTGTGTCCCCCGGAAGGGCCACACAGGACGCACGGCTGGAAGCCATGGAGAGGCAGATAGCCGAGATGAATAGGCGGGCGGACGTCGGCTCGGCCACACCCTCTTTCTCACTCACATCACCCTTTACCCCACGGGTGATGAGCGTCGAGATCCCCCGGGATTGCAGACCCCCGGGAAACTTGGTGTATAATGGGGCTGGCGATCCTAAGGCCCATCTGATAAGCTACCAAGGGAACCTCTCCATGCTGGGAGCATCGGACGAGGCCATCTGCAGATTGTTCTTCAGCACCCTCAGGGGGCCAGCTCAGGAATGGTTCGGCCAGTTGAGACCAGGCACCATTGACTCATACGAACAGCTTTCCCGGCAGTTCATGGCACAGTTTGCTGCCAGTACCACCCCCAGGAAGGACGTCACGGCTCTCGCCCACATCAAACAAGGGCGGGACGAACCGCTGGCTAGGTTCCTGGTAAGGTGGAGGGACGAGGTATTACAGGTCGACGATCTGGACGAACGTCTGGCCACCAACATGTTCACCAGTGCGCTGGCCACAGGGGATCTATACCGGGACCTGAGGAGGAATCCCGGCACCAGCTACACCGAGGTTTTGGCTCGGGCACAAAAGTATGCCTCCATCGAGGAGGAGATCAGGCAGCGGGACGGAGTTCCCGCGGCCCACCCACGGAAGATGGCGGACAGGCTCGGACCCGGACCAGGAACCGGGCCCTCCCCCCCAAACAAAAAGAAAAAGGTGGACGGGGCAATGGTCCCTTGGAAGGCTCCGTCCGGAGACAGTCAAACGCGGCCGGACGAACGCTATTTTCCCTTGGCCTATCCAGTGAGCCAAATCTTCGAGGCCATCAAGGACAAGGGCCTCCTGGTGGAGCCCCAAGACATGAAGAAGCATATGGGGCACGACCAATCGGCCTACTGTGAATACCATCAGAGGGCCGGCCACCTGACAGACAATTGCAGCCAATTGAGGAAGGCAATTGACGAGCTGATCCGCCAGGGGTACTTGGGCGAATTCACCCAGCTGCTGAACAAAAACAGCCAGCAGAAGCCGAACCCCAGGCACAGGACATGGCGCCGCGACGACCGGCGCGAGGCGGAACCTCAGGACGTGGATTATCGGAGTGCAGATAAACGTCCGGAGGGATCCCTTGGCCCGAAGGGCAAAAAGAAGAAGTTAGAGATCAAGGTGATCTTCGGGGGCGCTGAGACAGGGGATACACCCGCCGAGCGGAAAAAATTTGAGAGATCACTCTATGTGGGTTCCGTATCAGCACCCCCCGCTAAGCGCAACAAAATCGAGGCGATCACCTTCGGTCCCGCCGATCTGCCAATGTCACCAGCGCCGCACAGAGACGAGCTGGTGATCAGCATGGACGTGAACGATGCCATCGTCCGCCGCGTCCTTGTGGATACCGGGAGCAGTGTGAACGTCCTCTACTGGGAGGCTTTCGAGGGAATGAAGCTCAGGAAGGACATGCTGCACCCTCTGCGCACCCCGCTGTCCGGCTTCACCGGGGATTGTATTGACGCTGAGGGCACCATCATCTTGCCAGTGGAGGTCGGCGACGGCCCCCACACCGCCCGGATCGGAATGACGTTCGTCGTGGTCCGCCTGAAGTGCGCCCACAACGCCATTTTGGGCCGACCCGGCCTAGAAGACTTGGGGGCCATATGCTCCGTACGGCACTCATGCATCAAATTCCCCACCGACACTGGAGTGGGAGTAGCACGTACGGACCCGCATATGGCCAGAGCCTGCTACACGAAGGCCATGGAGAAGCTCAACGAGCGGGAGGCTCGGGTCAACAGCATCTCCGAGAAGGCCAAACAAGTCGACTTGGACGCTCATCTGGAACCAGCAACTCTGCTGGAGGAAATTGAACTCGACGATCCGACAGACAGGAAGGTGTCCATCGGTGCAGGTCTAGAGCCAGAGATCAGGGCGGGGGTCATAGCTGTCCTCCGAAGGTTCAGGGTCTTATTCGCCAGAGGGCCGGAGGACATGCCGGGCATCGACCCCAACCTCATATGCCATAGACTCGCCGTGCGGCCGGACGCCAAGCCTGTACAGCAAAAGAAAAGGTATATGGCGGCCGACCGACGCGATTTCATCAGGAAGGAGACGACAACTCTCCTCAGCATAAAACACATCCGGCCGGTCATCCACGTGGAGTGGCTGGCCAACGTGGTACTAGCCCCAAAGGGCGACACTTGGCGGATGTGCGTCGATTACTCGGACCTCAACAAAGCTTGTCCGATGGACCCTTACCCTGTCCCGAGGATCGACCTGCTGGTGGATGAAACAGCAGGCTGCGAGCTGCTCAGCTTCATGGACGCATTCAGGGGCTACCATCAGGTGTTCATGCACCCCGATGATGCCGAAAAAACGGCGTTCGTTACGGCGGACAGCGTGTATTGCTACATCGTCATGCCTTTCGGCCTGAGGAACGCCATTGCTACTTTTCAGAGGATGGTTGGGATGTTGTTCAAGGACGTACTTGGAAAGACAATGGAAGCTTACGTGGATGACATCCTGATCAAAAGCAAGAGAAAGGAGGACCATGTCCAGGACATGGAGAGGGTCTTCAGCATCATGGAGAAGGCCAGCATGAGGCTCAATCCGAAGAAGTGCGCCTTCGCCGTCAGGGGCGGCAAGTTCCTCGGCTACATGATGAGCGAGCGGGGGATCGAGCCTAACCCAGAGAAGGTGAAGGCGATTATGGACATGGAGGCCCCAAAGAACCTAAAAGACGTGCAGCGGCTCACCGGGCGTCTGGCGGCCCTGAGCAGATTCTTATCCAAGCTGGCTGATAAGGCGATTCCCTTTTTTCAGATCATGAAGAAGGCCAATCCCTTTCAATGGACCCCGGAGTGCCAAACTGCTTTCGAAGATTTCAAGGTATATCTCTCCTCTCCGCTCGTCCTCACCAAGGCAGACCCCGGGGAGAAATTAT